AATATTATAGAGTAATATAGATATAGAGTAATATGTATTATAATTTCAATTTAAGATAACAAATCATAAATAATAATTCCCATTTAAGACATCACAGTTCGGAGTTATTCAACTGGATTTCGGAGTTATAAATGTGATCTTGGAGTTTCGCGTAACCTTATACAATAGGAAATTATAGGATGTAATAAAAGCTAATTTTAATTTAAAGGTTATTTATTCCGAAATGCAAAAGGAATAAAAGTGTTTCGGAGTCAACTTTAGATTCTTTTCAAACTGAGTTCGGAGTAAAAAGCAATATGAGTCATGCCTCAAATTATATAACTCCTAATTTTATTTTTACTCCGAAATTTCGAATATTGAATATTTAGATTGTCATATCTAAATATTCAATATTCAAAATTTCAGAGGAAATTAAAATTTGGATAAAATAAAACTATATATTGATTCAATATGAGCTTCGATATTTCTATGACTAAATATGAAATTGCAAGGCCAAGTTAAGTAGGCACAAATTCTAGGAATAAAAGATATAAGATATAATAAAGATATAATAAAAGATAAGATATAATAAAGATATTCTAGCTAAATTCCCAATTCTGGATGGTTTCAAAAGTATCTATTGACGCATTCCTCTTCATCGCTTACCTGTTTGCCCAGTTCCCGTCGGCCGGGCAGTGGGGCAAAGATGATGCCCAGCTCGGCGCACTTCTGCGAGACGAGCTCCTTGAACTCCAGCTGAGCGGGCGGCGCCACATCGACGAGCATCACAGGCGTCAGCAGGACTGGGGCTGGTGCTGGTGGCATGGGCGGAGGCGGGGCTGCTGTGGGCTGGAGCACGGCATCTGTGGCACGATGCAGCATGTCCAAGGCGCGACGCAGATGCTCCTTGATGCAGGGCTCGCGCAGAATCGATTCGCTCAGCATGCTCTTCCAGCCGGCATACCAGCGCGAAATCTCCGTAAAGTCTGGCGCCTGATTGAGCCAAATGACCAGGACTTGCATCCAGCGGGGGAAGAAGTGCTTGTCCAGCAGCTGGGCCATGTGATGGGCGGGTATGAGCTCGTGCCACTCCCACACTTGATGCCACAGCTCCAGGTTCTGCTGCAGCGGATTGATGACTAATTCCGCCAGCACCGCCTGCAGCTTGGGTATGATGTAGCGCAGCAGGAACTGCACTAGCTGCTCCTCCGGGAACGCCGACTGCCAGGGCGTAAGCATGGCGCGCGCTGAACGATCCTGCGGCGACCAGGCCTGGAGTGCCACGCCCAGTTTGCTGCGTATCTGCGGATAGATGGACTCCTCCAGCTTAGCGCCCAGTATGCCGTGCCAGGGCAGGATCCAGCTGTGAATGGGCACCGTGTCGGTCAATGGATCCCAATCCTGGACGCCCGCCGTCAGCCGTGGCAGCACCAACTGCTCCAGCACCGAGTCCAGCACCCAGGTGGGCAGCAGCGGGGCCCAAGCATCGAGCAGCGCTGCCATCGGCGCGTGCTGCTTCGGCTGCCAGTTGGCGGCGCACTCGCGAAACGACGGCATCACCCCAGCCCAGATGAGCGAGGAGTAGGGATCGAAGACGTTGCGTGACTGCTGATCCGCCAGCTCGAGCTCATCCTGCTGCTGCAATATGCCACGCCAGCGCTTGATCAGCTGCAGCGGCTGTGTGGGCTGCTCCAGTGGCTGCCAATCGTTCAGCTCGCGCTTCACCAGCGGCGCAATGACGCCCGCCGCTAGATCGGCCAGCCCGAACTCCTTGTACTCGGCGGCGTAGTCGTGCTGCAGCTCGAGGAAGAGGCGCTCCGCTTGATCGAGACTCAGGTCGGGCGTCTCGCTCAGCTGCTCGAGCCGCAGCAGCGCTTCCTCCAGTGTGTTCATATGATTGCGCTCCAGCTGCACCAGCTCCAGCAGCTGCTTCTGTTCGTGCTGCAGCGCTGCCTGTCTGTCGGAGCATTCGCGCTCCTCCTTGTCAATCGCAATGATTTCCTGCTCGCATTGGCTCACGAGCAGCTGCAGATTGTGCGTCAGCTCCGGCATGCTGAACACGGAGACTGGCGTGGCCTTCTCGGCATTCTCATCGCCCGCCTGGGTGTCATACAGCGTCTCCTCGGGCGTGATTTTGTTCTGGGCCAAGGCATGGTAGCCGCTGAGCACGCGGCGCTCCGGTCCGGTCATGTCTATGACCGGTACATTGCCCAGCCGCTTGCTAAGCTTCTCGGACAGCAAATGATCCGACTTCTTGCCCTTGGCAATCACCTCCTCCACGGTCTTGTAGTAGTAGCGCTTGGTGTTCTTTTCACGAACTTCACCTTTCTTCCATTTGTTGAGCTGCTCCTTGGTCTCTTTGGCCTCCTTCTGTGCATCGTCCTCCATCTTCAGCTGCTTCGGCTGGCCGGGCACGCTGGCTGCCGTCTCTGGGCCATAGGCACCGATGGCACCGCGTCCTTTTCGCACATGCGCCTGCACCGGCTGCGAAATGCCCTGCAAATCCTTGCCCAAACCCTTGCCGGGCTCATAGCCCATCTGAAGCAGGAGCTTGGCGCCAATGCCACGTGTGTGTTGCTCCCAGGCGCCCACATTCCGATTGCTGGCAATGTGCGACTTGTGTCGCAATCCGGCAGTGCTGTTGGCGGCCATTTTGGGGCGTTGCGGCACCTCCTCCGCCGCAGAGCTGTCCGAGCTGTTAGCATCACTGTCCTCCATCAGCTGTGGCTGTTTGCGTCCAAAAGAGGGTCGCGCCTCGTCGCTGTCATCCGACTCACTGCCCTTCTCATCACTCTCTGCGTGTTCCTCTTGTGTCTGCTTTGCCTTCTGCTTTTTACCGGCCTGCTGAATGCCGCCGGCAACGAAATTCACCGGAGCCGTATAATCCTTGGGCTTGCTAGATGAGCCACCGCCCAGACCACGTCTACCGCGTCGACCGCTGCTCTCGCCTTCGCCCTCATTGTCACTGTCATCAGCCCAAATGCCTAAACAAATAGATTAATTAAATTCTACAATTTTGTTTTGCGTATTCATTGCATACCATAAATTTGTTGATGCTTGGTTTGGCGTCTGCGTGGCCTGTTTATGTTAAACTCATTTTCCAGATCATAATCTGTGATCTCAAAACGTTCGTATTCATTGTCGGACATATTTATATGGCATAAATATATTATAGTTTACAAATGTGTGAAATAAACAAAAACGTTTAGCTGACTTTAATGATAGTGTTGTAAAACGTTAACAATTAGCCGCTCTGTTAATAACGATATTTTAATGTAAGCATGTTTTTGGGCCTTTTTAGTGTCAGCTGTCATGTAACCATGAAGTCACTATTATTTTTACTATTTTTGTTTTTAAAGATTTTTGATTTCATATTTTTGTCAGTTGTTGTAGTGGTTTAACTAATGTACAAGTCGCCGTTCCATGATATTCCAATGCGCGCCAATAAACAGCTGATTGGAAGCTAACATACGTTTTTGAGTTAACGCTGCCTTTTTGAGTATAACAGCATGCTGCAATAACAGATATTTTTTTGTTCATTTAGTTCATCACATTTTATTTAATTTTAAAAACTATTAATAATAATTGAAATAATACATTAGTAATTATACATATAATAAAAAGAGATAAACTGTATTCTAATTATTTTCTTGTTTATCATTCATCATACAAGTGTATTTTGTATACATATCATACGTTACAATAATACGACTTATGGTTGAAATATCTTTACTATTTATTTAAAATGTTAATTTTATTACGATTAATATATTAATATAATATATAACAATATTTTAATGTCAACTTCTTAGTTTTCTAGTTTAATTCAGTCAATATTTGAATATGATTATTCCAAAGAACGTGTTCTCTAATAAAGTTCTTAGTTCGGCGCAATCGAACCAGTTTAGTTCCTCTCAGTTCAGAACTGCCGCACGTGCATTACGATAACATTACATTCTTCTCAATGTTCTTGTTGCGTGCGGTTCATTGTTCGGTTCTTGCGCATACAAATTGTATCAACGCGAAATCTCAGCTGCGTAAAGTGCCAGCAAACAAAATAAATAAACATATTAAAATAATTGCAAACGACAACAATTAAAGCATAGGCCGCGCCGCAGCAACCGCACGCGTTACATTTGTGTTCCACAATAAACTGTATATAGCATTTTAATATTCGTTCAATACATTTGCAAACATTAAGTTTTAATTGCATCTAAACCCAAAGCACACGCAAATATAGCAAGCAAAACAAAAGTGAAATTAACACGTGCGTTTAACATTGTGTTCCGAGCTTCAACCCACCACAGATTGTGTCCAGTTGCTTTTCCTCATTTTCGTTGATTTTTTTTTGCCGGCATTGAATTTTAGGGCTGGCATTTAATTTGCCTTTGGATTAACTGTTAATTAAACAAGTAATCAGCAGCAACCACAACAATAACAGCAGCGGAACAGCAGAACAGAAAACAACAAAATGGTGCAGGTAAGCGAAAGAGAAATTTATTAAAGAGAGAGAAATTACTGTAAATAAAAGAAAGGGAACTAAAAATGTACATTAACTAAATATTTGTGCATTATGTACTGTGCGAACAAGTTCTTTTTTCCTGTAATCAAGTTAGAGATGTTGGTCAAGGTAAAGAAAATAAATATAAAATTCAAATAAGCTTCGTGTTCTCAGAAGTTTATAAAAAAGCAAATATAAAATATAATT